TCTGTATGGGACAGTAGCAGGGACGTTACTACAGAATAATTAAGTAGCAGTGGAAGATCTTTGGTTCTCCACAAGTTGGCGACGACCTCCGCAACTGAATTAACTACTAACGAACATTATCACGACATTGATGTAATTCAGCAAATTAACATTAAGCGACTTCGCTAGCTTGATCATGTTGTGAGAATATACAAATATGCTCCAACAAAGAAAGTGTTTGAAGCGGTAGTTAGAGGAAGAAAGCGTACAGATAAACCGTGTGTTATGTCGAGTGATGAAGTTGAGGCAGCACTAACCGGCCTTGATGTATAAGACTGGCAAAAGCACACACGCAGCAGAGGCGGTTGAAGAGACATGCTGTGTCAGGTCGAAAACCAGTAATAGGTTATTAAGCCTATATTAGAAGTACATATTATATGTACTTCTATTACAATGTAATTGTACGTTAATCTTACAAATATTTTATATTTTAAAAATACATGATTATATATAATAATAAATTATTTCCTATTATTATAAAAACTTACTATTTGTATCAAAAAATATTATTATAGACATTATAATTACATATTCTTAATAACTATTCATAATTGTGGATGTGTTTTTGATTAAATTTCTATTTTCTTCTATATCTGTAAATTGTTTATTATTATTATTTTATGTTTTATTATTTCCTTAACAAATTTTTAAAACAAAAACATTTTCTGTTGAATTAAATTAGTTGGAATAATTATTAAGAGTATTGCTTTTCTTTTTTTGATGTGTATGAATCAAAATATAATTAAATTTTTAATCGGTCATTATTTCAATAAAAGACACTAAATTTTTATTAGAATGCAATGTTCTTTCAAAACACAAACGACTGAGAAGTGTCGTTAATGCAAATTAATGAAAAAATTTATTTATTAAAAAAAAATAAAATATTTTTAAGTGAATATTAAACTTATTGAAATTGTCATTTTTTTTCTTAAATCAATTATATTTATTATTAATTTATTAACTGATTTGGTTGTATAATAAGTGCACTTTACAGATTTTAATTATTTAATTAGTGAAAAGTAATAAAAATTATGAAATGTGTCGCAGTGACAGTCAGACATACTGAAATTGGTTTTGTTTTTAAGATGATAATTTTATTCAATAATATTTATTTATGTGCTTATATAAATCAGTTAAAATATTTTAAATTATGGAAAAAAATAAATAAGTTAATATTTGCCCTTAAATTGAATTAAATGTTAATTTTGTGGGTAAGACTTGAGTTTAGATTTAACTTATGTGAACTCTGAAGACAGTTTCAATGCTTTATTCTCAAAACTTAGAAGACATTAAAAGGGAATATAAGTTATAAATAAATTAGTGTTTATTTTTAATAGATAATATTAAATAACAGTAGTATAATAGAGGAAAATTTAGTTTCGTCTTTAATGCCAGCAAAGGTTACTGTAATCATAAAAAGCTGGCTCTCTCTCTTAAATAATTTGAAAGCACCTTACGCATTACATATTTTAAAACCCTTTAAACCTAGGTATATATTCATGTTACCGATGTGCCTTTTATTTATAAATTTTATTTTTATAATAATTAAATTATTTATTTAAATTCAATTGGCATAAATATTAAAGATTTAGTTGTTATCATAGGTAGGTAGATTATACCGGAAATCCCAAGCGATCCACTTAAGTCTATAGTATCATTACGTTACCGTATAATTATTTAAAACTCAGGACGTTAGAACCATTTAAAACCTTTGGGAAAGCTTAAAATGCTTTTGGACGTTCTCACCACAACTGCGGCAGATATGGTTGAAAGGGGGATTTAGTCGCCTAGCATGGTTACTTAAAATACAATAACCTGTATAGTACTTATAATAAATTTTTTTTTGAAATATGTTAGTTCAATTTTAAATAGTAATTCATTTTAATTGCTTCATTTTGTAAAATTTGTGTTTTTCGTAAAAATTACGGGATATTGTATACGTACAGAGGTAAGACTGTTCTATACATATATTGTAAAACAAACCACTCAGTTTCTTAAATATAATCCTAATTAAATAAGCACGGAAGCAGCCGCGCATATAGATGTTGTGGTTATTTTTTTTATAATGTTAATGTTCTATAACATAATAAACGATATTATGCTAAGGGCTCTAAGGTAAGCATTTGGGGCATAATTTGTGATAATGTTTACAAGTAAGGCCAAAATATCAGTCTTCAGTCCGCCTTCTCTAGAAAGAAGGTGGACTTTCTGGAAGTTTTTAATAAAACTATTAAAAAAATATAAGCGTTTGAGAGTTATGCTGGGTAATTGAAAATCTAATATCATGCTATAAATAAGGAACATTTATTTAGATTTCTATTTTCATAAAAGAATATTTAATAAAAAAAAAAATTGGGTATTAGTCCTGACAACAAGACATGAAGTGTTGAATGAGTAGAATGAGTAGAACAAATTTTAAGCAACCTACAATAAATAAATATTTCCAGTATATTCAATAACCAAAAATACATTGCAATGTAAAGGCATCTATTTTTGTCCCATTCACAAACCTAAATCACTTTCTTAGACTACACGACGAAGCGACGGTTTTCAAGACGATTAGTGAATTTAATAATAGATATAGTTTTAAAATTTTTTTTTACATTAAGCGGCATGTAAAATCCCTTAATCAGTGGCGTAACTACATTTTTTAGGCCCATAAGCGAATTATAATTAAGGAGCTCCTACTAATATCTTTTTATACCCTTTACACGAAAAAGTGTAAACAACTTATTTCAGGCTTGTGAAGATTTTCGTATCGTCTGTTTGAAGTCTGTTTCAGTATCTGAACAATGTGTCAATTTATTCTGTGTATCACAATTAACAAAGGCATCATTTAAATCGTTTATTCCTTCAGTTTTGTTTTCATTTATTTTAAGAAAATTGTCTAGTTTTGGTAATTTCTTTAATGTTAATAATGAATGCATAAATTTATAGTGGGGCCCCCTATGTTCGGGGGCCCGAAAGCGTTGCTTCCAGTCGCTTCCCTGTAGTTACGCCACTGCCCTTAATCCTCCACGAAGAAATCACAGCTTGTTAATTAGTGTACAGCGGAATTTGGTGGCTTAAGCAGAGTAGCTGATATTACTTACAGCTGCTTTCATGGTGCATTAAATCTATTAAAGGGAATGATTCAGCAGAGGATTTGCACCACCTTATACATTTTCCGGACGTATGCCTAACATTAATTTTCTTCAATTAGTTTACAATGGGTGATAGAAATGGCATGTATAACTTTTTAATTGACTTGGGCTTCATTTAATAAGACCAGTTCCTGAGAATTTGGTGCAGGAACCAGACAAAGCTATATTGCACTTTTTTCTAGAAATAAATGAACAACACGTCATTTGTACCTTTTTGGATAACCTGGTCTTCATATAATAAGACCAGATTCTGGGAACTTTCTCATTGAAGTCAGAAATGTTGAAGTGACTTGAAGTGATTTAAAAATGATTAAAATTTTAAGGATACATAGTCACATAAAAAATTTTACATAAGCGCAAAGTATTGAAATTCTATTAATATTTGCTCAAGGTAATTAAGTTTTCTGGACCTAGTTATTTAAGTATTATATATTTATAATATAATATATAATATAATATTATAATATAATCTATTATATTATATAATTTTTATGTATGATAATAATATATATAAATATATTTATTAAAACTATAAATATATTTAGAAACTTGCTTGAAATTATTAATTTTTTTAATTTGCTTGTAAACATAACATTTTTGTTTTTTTTAATTTTTAATATATTTTAAAATATTATAGTTATATCAAATATTAATATAAAATTAATTAAATAGTAATCGTCTTAATAATAATATAATTGGATAAATACCAAAACTATGGGACTTTTTCCCTAAGTAAAAAAAGCATGACAAAACTTTTATCTAATAAATGGAAAATTAATCTTAGTCATTGCCTAACCGTTCCACTTAGCACTTATAATGATACTCAGTTCTCAAATTGTATTTGAACGAAATAATAATTAAAAAAATAAATTAAAAATAAACCAATAAATTTATTTAACAATTTAGTAAAGCACTTAAGTCAACACTAAGGCATACATGTGTTCTAGTGTTTTTGGTTTACTTAAAGTAATTGGCACTTATATTTTTTACTTGAGCAAGAATTCACCAAGTGGAACTACGTTCTAGTGAAGCACAAATTCGATTACTAAGAGTTCCTATATGTGAATCTAGAAATTTATTTAATTTTGGTTTCCTTTGGAAAACTCATTTGCATAGCTATATGGTAAGTGCCTTGAGCCAGTGATTCCTGACCCTTGATGCAATTTAGTGTAGAGCTGAAGGGTTTTTGTGTGCTTCATCACTTGCACTGCATTTTTCCACTTTGTATGGCAAGCTTTTGTTCGGTAAATTCATGAGTTCACCTATGCATGTTACATGTCAATAACCATGAGTAAACTGCACCATTGCTACCGAAACCTGTTACCGGATTTAACCGGTTGCATTAAGATTCTTCGCTTTTGCTCTTCATTAAAATGCTTCGATTATTGCATTTTATTAAATTAAATCTTTAAAATTATAACAAAAGGCGTGAATTTGCATTTGTTTAATTAATTCAAATTCAAATTTAAGGTGTTTATGGCCTACACTTTTTTTCGAGCTCAGCAAATTTTCTGTATATTTTATAACAATTTTATTTCCTTTCAACACAAAATGTTCGTGTAATTTTTTTATTTATTTTTTTAAACTAATTTTTCGTTCAAACACATAAAAGAACTGTGTTAATTAGCTTAGTAAACACAAATCTTAAAATCACAATTTTAACAAATTTTTTTGTGTAGTTTTTCATTATGTGGAAACGCGTTAAAGTTTGAATAGTCACTTCTTTTGTCTGGGAACTGGCACATTTGGTACATTTGGCACAAAAACGACTGATAAGGAGCACCATAGTGCGGTCGTTCATCTGGAATTCGTACTTGCCTCTTTTTTTTCAAACTTTGTTCATAGAACATGATACACTCATTTAACGGATCCATTGCTGTGAATTTTTTTTTTCCAACATTAACCCACGACGTTAAACTTTAAAATTAAATACTGAAAATCACATCTGCTTGCTATAATATTTTGTATCTGAAAGTACGTATATTTATATCTGAAAATGAACTTGCCGAACGCGCTTAGCAGATACGTCTGACATATCTGAGAACCGAAGCAATACTTAAAATTCAAGTTGTGCGATCGCGTAGTTAAAGCGATCCTCGAATCACTGTCACTGATTTTATACGATATGCGTTCTGTTTTCTCTACCACACCTCGCATTTTGTTTATGAAATAGCGGTAAAGTTATAGACGGCAAAGTAAATGCACAGTTTGTATTGAATTCAGGGCTGAAATCTTATTATTTGGTATTTATTTGCATTTTTAATTACTTTTGATAAGGACAAATTGAAATTGATATTGTTAAATCAGCAAACACTCGTAAATGATTTATTATTTCAGTCACGGATAGCGATCAGTTGTGTGGTTATGATCTATCTGCAAATTGTCAGGTTTGCTCGTCGATCACGTTGATTTCTTGTGGGCTATAGTCTTTGACGTGTTGACGTAGAATGCAGATCAATTAGCAATAAAGTTTTTTACGATATATTGCTTTTGATCTTAGCAACAAATTAACTTAATTGTTGAAAAATATTTTTGGCACGATCAACAACAATACGATAACGATAACATATTTATTTAACTAACCCGTAATTAATTACTTCCAAACAATTAATATGTTATGATGTTTAGCAAATCATAAAACATTTTTAAAATTTCCATTTAATAGGCGTACAACCGAGTATAGACCCTACAACCCAAGTTCTTGAAACTGCTTAAAATTGTTTTTACTAAATCATTGCAGTTGCGTTCTTATCTTCTCTATTCCGTTTTTGATTAAAAGAGGTTTGTGAGCGAATTTCTTGGCGTACACTATTGATATGATTAAGTTGAGTCATATTAATACAATTCAAAAGAATTACTGATAATCCATTCACTATAGACTAATGTACATTAAACCACATAAATACTTTTACACCTCTTTGTACTCATTTATAAGTGTCTGAAGAAGAATGTACAAAGAATTTCTTTGTGTTCTCAGATAGCAAGTATTCATAACAATTAACTGCAAATTCGCTGACTCTGAGTAAATTAAATAAGACAAATGAAAACAAATAAATAAGCTGAATTGATTCATTATGTTCAGTAGATTTGTAGATTTGCTCATTTGAATGAAATAATATACAATAAAATTGTAAGATGCCAGAAGCAATCAAGCAATTCCTTTATAAAGTATTAAACTTTTGTGGGTTCTATAATAGATTAATATTATTGGCGCCAATGTTTATGAAAAAACTTCTTAGGCTCTCACGTAAGCACGATCAATGTGAAAATGTTTTGCAAATATATATTTATATGCACTTCATACCTATTATAGTCTATGAACGATCTACGAGATAGAAGTTAAAGCATTTCCGAGGTAAGACATTTTTACCTATCGTCGAAAACATGCCTAACGTAAACTGAATTCAAGTAAGACTGTTAACAAGTGAGTTTTTATTTGCGACATCTCGCCAAAGTTAAGATGTGCTACCACGGAATCCAGGTGGTACCAGGTGGATAATATCACAGTGGCTGAAGTTATTACCTATAGTTACGGAAAACATATTTGCAATTATATTTTTATTCAATTGGAGTTAACAAATGGGTTTATATCTGCAACATCCCACCAGAGGTAAAATCTGGTACCATTGAATTTAGTAATCCCAACTGCATCCGAAATTTTGGGATGAATCTATAATGGAATGTCATAGAAGCTGTGTTGAACATCTAAAGTTATGGAAGAAAATTATTAAAAATTCTATTTTTATTCAATATGGAGTCAACAAATGGATTTTTATTTGCAACATCCCACCAGAGGTGAAATCTGGTACCATAAAATTCAGTAATTGTGAATTCAGTAATCTAAATATAGGGTTGACTTCATAAGAGAATCACATAGTCTGTATCAATACTATCAGCAAGAGTATCAGCAATTCTATTTTCATTCAATATAGAATTAGTTAAAATTATCAACCAGGTGCTGTTACCCAAAACACAACAGAAGTGTCTTTTCCCTCACTTTCCAACAATTTGGAACTTGTATCTAAACTTTCAATGGAACAGGCTGAATTCTTTTGCGGAATTTGGTCATCACGACAAGTAAACACATAAGAAACTAGGGACCCATTTCCACTGGTTTGCAAAGTAGAATACAAAATATCGAAATATTAGTGACAAAGAAAAGTTAACACCTGAGATATTATAAAGTATATATATTCCCCATCAATTCGACGAAATCGAATAAATGAAGTCTGTCTAAATATTTACTGACCAGTCTATCTACCTTACTCTTCTTTTATCCATATATTTTGATTCACTCTAAGTTTTCGAAAACAAACGATTTGGAAAAGAGTCTTGAAACCCACACTTACAGTTCCTATAACTAGATGACAGTTTAAATCATATGACCGATATATAACAAGATAAAATCATTGTAAAATGATACAGTATAAAAGGCCGTGCTTTGGATAGCCTTAAGTATAACAATGTAATAGTGCATAATACAAGGACAATTCTTTTACTTGAAATGTTCAAAAGTAATAATTTTATGAGTAATGGAAATTTTGAAAATTTTGAGTAGTATCAGGGCTTTATAAAGAAATGATCGGAAGCTATTTAAAAAATGAAAGGAATTCATATAATGTTCAAGTAGCTCGAGATGTTTGAGTACCTTGAAGATGTTTGAGTAGCTCGGAGATGTTCAAGTATCTCGGAGATGTTCAAGTAGCTTGAAGATGTTTGAGTAACTCGAAAATATTCGAGTAACTCTACGATGTTCTAGTATCTCAAAGATGTTAGAGTAGCTCGGAGATGTAAGATTAGTTCGGCGATTTTCGAGTAGCTCAAAGATGTTCAAGTAACTTGAAGATGTTCTAGTAGCTCGGAGATATTACAGTAGCTTGGAGATGCTTGAGTAACTTGGAGATATTCAAGTAATTTGAAAATGTTCTAGTAGCTCGGAGATATTAGAGTAGCTCGAAGATGTTCGAATAGCTCTGAGATGTTCGAGTAGATCGAAGATGTTGGAGTAGCTCGGAGATGTTCGAGTAGCTCGGGAATGTTCGGGTAGCTCGGAGATGTTCGAGTAGCTTGGATGTGTTCGAGAAGCTCGAAGATGTTTCATTGGCGCGAACATCTTCACGTAGTTAGTACATCTTTGAGCAGATCTAATAGCTTCCAGTGTATCGAAGTTGTTTGCAGACCTCACTGTCTATTGAAATGTTTAACCTGATTAAAAATTCTGCTCGTATTGCAATTGTGTAATGAAGTCAGACGAAGATCTACGCTGACAGAGATCTAGTACCTAGATCATTTCAAATTTATGACTCCATAAAGAAGAATTATACCATTTAAAACATTAATAATATACAAATAAATAATTTATGTTCATTGTTATGTGAAAGTTAACTAAATAACAGAACATTTTTTTCATAAATTTTAGAGAATGTGTCATACATGCGAGTGTTCAGCAATTTTTTCTATTTTATTTGTTTATATTAATAATCTGTACTATTGTACCATATTTATGCAGTAATACATATGTATATGCTATGTATATTTATGTACCACAATTTTGTTTAAAACGTAAACAGTGATAATCTGTGTAGAAAACAATATTTATGAATTTCAAAAAGATTTGTATGTAAATATTTCTATTAATCTGAACTTTGTTTACGGCTGGAAATTTCATTGCCCCATAAAACAAGACACAAACAAAATACCGTCACTGGCGTTCTGTAAGCGAGGCGTTGTACCAGTTTAATTGCCGTAGTTAACCAAAAATTATATTTTATCAAAATTTTAGTATTAAACGGAATTGAAAGCCAAAATTTATTACCTTAGATTATTTACGACGAAGTCGGAAACACAAAAGCTTTTACGTAAAATTTATTTTATCTATTTTACATAAATTTTTTTTTTGTTTTCACCAAAAAAAATATTGAGTTCAATTTGTTGATTCCAAATCGATTTTTAAAAATTCACTTATATTTTAATAATTTTTAATTATAGTATATTTAATTATACTCATTAATTACAGCAATTAATAGCTTCACTTAGCACTTAGTTTCCTTAATTATTATAATATTTAAAGTTATAAAATGGTTCACAAAATAAAACTTTAAAATTTAAAAAAAACTTGTATTGAAATTATTTTCAAATTATTATTTGGTGCTAAAATGTTACATTTTATATATAAATTATTAATATCACTTATGCACAGGCAATAAAAATGTGTTGCGTTATTTACAAAAAGTATTCGAAGGAACAATGCAGAACTGCCTTCAATCTTTGAGGAACTGCGTTGCGACTATCAGAGGCAGCTAAGCACAAACTTGTAATAATAAATTTTAATTAATTTAAACATATTTTTAGCAAAAGCGACCCAAGGTATCCGAATGCATAGCTCTAAGAATATAGACAACGCATAGATTACAAAGTACATACACCCAAGCAGCTGGTGGCCTCATATCTCGCCTAACAATGCATAGCCAGCGCAATTAGCAAGTACACAAGTATATTATTTCTTCAATATGAATATAATGTGCTTAACAATGGACATGGCATGCACATTAGCCTAAAACTTACATATGTCGTATATATTTGATGAATTTTAAATTATTTTATGCAAAGTATATGGAAACACCGAGCGACAAATTTTGATAGGACAAATGGAAGAGTAGTAGATTTTGAAAATTTACATATGATACAATTGTAACCGATATCTTTTAATTCCAAAAAATGCTATATATAATGTAAAGAATATATTTTTTTTAATTAATTACAACTCGCGCATGTTAATTCAATATTAGCTCTTCTCTTTCGAATTCTAGTGGATATCATCACATAACGGACATCGTCATCTGCTATCCATTGACAAAAGCCAGCACAAAATTTATTATGATGGGCGAATTTTCACCTAAATTTTTCCACGGGTTTACGATAATTGGCAGTCGTAAGAGACTGTGAAGCACAAATCTGCAACTTGTTGTTCTTCTGCATACATGGGACTCCGGCAGTAGAGGGTTTAAGTTCAAAAATAGAGATTTAAAATAGAGATTTCTATATTGAACGTTCTTCCCTAAATTCTTTTCTTCCTACTCAAAAGAAGAGATTTTTCAAA